CGTTCTCAAACTTGATATATCGTCTTCGCATTCGGTTGGTACGAGTTTTTCTCCAAAAATTTCAATATTTCAACACGTTCGCCCATGCAGTCAAAGTTCGTTTCTGTTAAAACAATAAATACATGAATCAAGTCCAGTCACGTTCTTGGAAAATAACAAGGCCGGCAGAGTTCTTGGAGGTAACCTTGGAAGTGAGTGGTCAGCAGGAAAAAAGTTGAAAAGTGTTGATTCAAATGTACAGTTTGTTGGACGCTGCCTGTAATGAGGAGCATATGTGGACAAGGTGTGAAAGTTCAAGGTGTATGGGAACTTTTAATAATGGATGAATTACAAATAATGAAAAAAACACCAAAATGGCACTATTGGAAGATTCTGTAATTCTGTAATTTTCCTTCAGGCTTTTTCAATTCATTTCAATTCTCTTTACTTAGAAAACATTTATAGAAGTCCGTACACTTTACTATTTCCTATGATTTGTTTCTGCTTTTTTTCTTTGTGAATTTCCAAAAGCTTCCAGTTTAGCATGGAAGCTTCATGCTGTCTCTTCTATTCATCTTTATCAGCCACATAAATTAAACTCAATACCTTATCAAATGGATGCTTCCCCGTCACCAAATCTCTCTCATCATAAAACTACATTCTGCTTTATTAGAAAAGTTCCCGAGCTACTCTACCATAATATTTCATGTTATCTGCGCACATCATTAACTTTTACTCCATCCATGTAAAGTCATTAATATCACCGTGGTTGTCGGAAATGTGTAATTTATCAGCCCAGTGCGGGGGGAAACGTTGTCAATAACTGTGTCAAATTCCCTCATTGTCTCCTCTGTAGATCCTAATAAGGATATGGCAGCGCATGGGCGGGAATCAGGGCACGTTTTTAGGGGCGAATGAAGTGGGCCGCGACAGTGCAGAGATTAACTGTCTTTCCTGACACTCCTGCAGACACTTCTCTGATCCACTCACTTCAATTTGTCACCCAAAATACAAGACGCAAGCTCCTTACGCCGGACAAATTACCATACATTTACAATTCATTCGTGCATGCCGATTCTGACCGAGACCCTAAGACACCGCTACTTTAAGCAGTCATTATTTATTTGTTCTCATTTGTCTGATTTAAAGGTCGGGCCGGAGGGCAATTAGGCTGAGTCAGCTCTAGCTTGTGCCAATAGTGAGGAGGCTTATTGATTTACAGTAGATAACAGTCTTTAAGAATGAGAGGTGTTATTTGGTATCCTCCCCGGACTTGTGCAAACAACAATTTGTTTTGGGAAAAGCGGGTTCCATTAAGAATTGCAATAGTTGGTTTCATAAGCTTAAGTTTTCAGGCCTTTCTAACTTATAGTATATTTTTTCTCATCAGCTCTGAAATGTATGTTTGCTTTTGAATTATAGTAATTATAATTTTCCTCACATAATGAAATATTTCTATTTTCACTTGCCATTTTCACCGTTTGGGAAAACAAACGTTACTGAGCTGTTTTAAGAATGATGGAATGAAGTTATTGAAAGGTGTATTGATCAATGCAACTCTCATTTAATCAAATCTGCAAAACCTCTAACGCATTCTTTGTCTTTTCTAACATAAAACAAATAATAGAGATGTCTTCCTTCACCTCTCCCTCAAAGGTATAGTCTCATAAATCCATAATAAGCACTGAAGGAAATGTCAATGAATATGTCTTAACAGCTCACTTTGTAACTTTGTCACAATGGAAATATGATTGTATTGCTACTTGTTGGATCTTTGGAGAGAGGACCCCAGTCATAACAGATTGTACGCACATATAATTCAAGAAATTAAAGATTCATACAATACTTGTGTGAATAATTCTAGGCCAAGAAACACAACATCAACATCAACATGTAGATAAGCAATCAAAAAAAAAACAAATCTATAGATAATTTATTGTAATTTTCTTCGTTAGTCGCTCCACATTGAACTGAGAGCTGAACTTTACCAGCAGCCGCCAGCGAAGAGTCAATTTAACAGTATATTTATGTGTTTGTATTTTCCTCCTCTTGCAAGCATCTCAGCACATTTCCAATGATTGCTGGCTCTGATTACTCTCTATGAAGCAACCCAAGTGCCTCTGTATCCGCGCCGCATCAATGTGGGCTCCATCCAAGAAGCACTTATCCTATCTCGCAGTCCAACGAGTTGTTGTCAAGTGAAGAAAACAAAAGGCAACGGCTAAAAATATGCATAAAAGCCTGTTGCGTTTTGCCGCATTGCATAATAAGGAGGTAGGTGCCTGAGCAGTTGTAATCGCTGCATAGACACAACTCTGGGAAACATGTTTAGTTTTATATTTAGAATTCATAATATTGAGAAAATATTACTATATATATACAATATTCTGCAGAGGAAGGAGTAGGCCGGTGTAAGGGAATTGATGACCTCATGCCCTTTCAGTGGAGAACAACCCACTCAACTACTACGGCCGGTTGATTTTGTCATTCATTATTTTTACTCCCTGATCCAAGCCCTGATAGACTGTTCCTTTGTTGTTTCTGTTGGCCTCGCTGATCATTTTGGTTGGTTTAACAGTTTATCTGATGGAGGCCTCAAGGAGTATTCGCTGATTTCTGTTGGAGAAACAGAAGCAATTACCAGGTTTAATGATTTAATTTCTGTTTTTCACTGTTCATGTGCGACAACACTTCAAAAATGCCCCCTTAAACCGTCTGTAAAGTTACTTGCTGTGAAGTTCTGCGGCTCAATGAAAACTAATACAACCAAAATCAATATGGCTGAATGAGGTGACTAATCTGAGTAGATACGCTGCCAAGGTCTGGAGCATCTCACTGGAGTATTAGAGCTGTATCTGATTTTTTACTCTCTTAGAAAATAGGAAAAACAAAACATAATTTACAAAAAGTTTGTAGCAGCTCAAACATTTGTCAACTTTCAGAGCACAGGACAGAGATACATCCAACAACTGGCATACTGAGAGTATATGTCCTGGTTTGTATAGAAAACCACTGAATGCTCACAGCGGTCTAGTTTCGACTTTCGGGTAAAGATGTTCTGTCGTGTGACGTCACACACATGATCAGGCCCTCGTTTGTGGACTGGGGCACCAGCGCTGCACATCGCCCACTATAGCAATGAGCAGTATAGTTTTTAACAGACCAGTGAAGACATCTGTGAAATATCAGTATGGTTAAAACTTGTGCTGTGGGCTGTAGTAGACAAAAGAACAGTAAATGGAAAATGTCATAGATGTCCAGAGGAGGAAACTCAAGGCTATTTGGCAATGCTGTAGAAGATAATCCTTCTATATAATGGGAGCAGAAATCTGTTCATCTTAAAAACTCTGGGTTTAAAACCAAAAAATGCCATGTGATATAATCTAACTAGTTCCCACCTCTCCACTATCACTAGTGCTATTAATAGTTTTCTAATTTGTTGGCCTCTGTCATGTCTTTAGATCAACTATTTATACAGAAATTTAAAGTAAATCAACTCTCAACCCAAATGGTCAAATAGTGACTCATAAGGCTCTTTCTTACAAGTACAAACAATGCCTTGCTATTAGTAGCACAAAGGGGTTCTAGTAAAGTTTGACCTCAGCAGTGTAAACTCTGGTTGTAGATATCCTCATTGAGGATAACTTGTGCCAGATATAATAACCTATTCCGCTTAACTTTCAGGATTGTCTGCACAAAGTTGTTCTACATCAGTGGTAATTGGTTCGTTATTGGACTATATCCATTGAAATATTAGCGAAACAAGAGGCATTCTATAGCCTCTTTTGTACATGTTTTGTTATTTGAAGCTGTATTTCAGAGGTCTGTTGTTTGCATTGGTGGAGGTCCACTGATGTGTGTTCATATAGGCGCCTTTAGGAGAGGAATAAAAGTAGCAGTTCAAAGTCTAATGCATTAAACTCCAGCCTAGAGTAAATGCTCTGTATCCCAGGGGGCAACATGTCTTTCACCGCAGCTGTGTAATTATATGCATACTGTGATTTATCTGGCCGCTCTCTTGGCCACAGATAGGTATATAAATTGGCTGGTAGTACCATCACCAATTCGTTTGTGAGAGCAGGAATTGACTTGGCCTTACAATAAATATACAGGCTGTGAATGAGGAGTCAACAGTCCAGAGCCGATGCTGCTCCCCAATTAGAGGCTTCTTTTTCTGATCCACTGAGTTTTACTGCAAACATGGCCACACTCACACAGATTGCATAGCACGGTGCAGTAATTAAAAATGTGACTTATAAATATTTAACCATCAACAGGATGACTCAAGACTCCTGAAAATCATTAGTGTTTTCTGACTCACTTGGTTTATTTAAAACATACATTAATTTATGAATAATATTTATATCTTCCTATTTTACATAATATTGCACCTACATGTATACTGAATACCTGCATAAAATATATTTTGTAATGTATTCCAACATGGTCCAATCTGTATTTTGATTAATGCTAATTTGCATAGTATACAGTAAGTGTGATGGAATTGGAAAAACTTTAGCACCGTTATTTTCAATAATAAAAGTATCAAATACACCAGCAAGTTTATGATTAAAAAATTATAATTTTGTTAAAATTGCTATCTTACAACTAGAACTCCCAGAGTAGTCATTTTGAGGACTTATTACTCAGCGTGTGTAAGTTTTTGGTGTTCTTGACTTTTTCTGTTTCTCTATGCGCTTTGTTTTTATGTCATTATTTTAAAGAAATTGTCATCTATTCTTGAACTGTGAGGTGTTCTCCCAATTTGATTCTATAGAGGTTAAAGCCCCCTTTCATGCTTTTTATGCTTTTATTTCTATTCTGAATTCATATCCTCATTGATCAATCCTAAGTTTGAAGAGGTGACGTTATATTGCCGTCACAACTTACTTGTACTTGTCCACTTAAATGTGGCTCAAACTCCATATGGGTGCTCAGTCAAAAGGCTCTAACTTTGCTGCAGCCTTAAACAAAGGAGAAAGAAGTTGCTAATGAGACTCAAATGTTGTGGTGTCCTGTCATCAGTCTACGCCAAGACATGCCTTTGCCAGCGCCCCACTGCGAGCGCCGGGTCCAGAGCCAGAGCCGCAGATGACGGCCGTGCCTGTGATATGAGTCCCCCCCAGAACGCCACACGCCACGCTCACTCCCGCCGCAAACACAGGTACAATGTCAGCTACCGAGTCTTCGCCACATCCATCACTACATTATGCTCAGACCAGCGGACACAGCATCATCATCACAAGAAACACAACATAGCCACCATATACAGCCATCGTAGAGCTTTTTATAGAGTCACAGAGAATCTTTATGCTCTCTATTTATCCTGTGAATGTATAGTTCTGCGCTTTAAAGTAGATCTATAGTGATTTGGTGAGGGATGATCTGAGTTGGCTGAATTCCTTATTGAGTGATGTTCCCCATTTACTCTATATACAAGTAGACATTGCAACATAGTGATTTCCATTCCAGAGATTGAGAAAAAGATAAAAGTCTATTGTTGAAGAAAGAATATAAAACTTGCATGATTCAATTTGACCAATTTTAATTACAGATTACGAATGAAACAGGGTAGAGGACAAACTTGGAATGTCACAGAACTGTTTTCAAAATATGTAAAATAAGTAAGGCATAATGTATATTACGCAGGTCAGCGAGGGACTGGTGCTATGAGTCTTGGGTGGCAGCTCTGATTGCCCCCCTCCGACCCAGAAATGGAATAATAAAGGGGTAGAAAAATGATGACATGCTTAGTTATGATTTTAACCCTTTAATGGTTTCCTCAACCATTTGCTAGATCACCTTTTGAGTATATCATATTGTAGGATCTTTGTTTACACCCGCGTGCGCCCCTCGCTGGGTGGTACAAAGACAGAGTGGCACATAGTGAAGCATGGATGTACTTTTCAAAGACTCAGTGGGCGAATAGCACTGTATATAAGCACTTTAAGGCAAGAAGATCAGAGGAGATTTAAAGACAAGCTAAAAATAAGTATATGAGACTGAACTGAACAAATTCAAAGCCCATATGAGACTTGGGAGGACGAGAAGAAACATTGGTCAGACTCACCTCTGTCTTGGCACCGATCTGCTGGGACTGGGACTCTATTCTTACTTCATAGAAAACCCGGGACCCTTCACTCAAGAAGGGTCTATGGTGAAAATCCATTTCTTGCGTTTTTCACCGCGGTAAATTGGCCCCGCATTTCGCCCCACATTAAAAGCGGGTTGCCCCTTTTTGCTGTTACTTAGGGTAAAGGTGGAACAGGAAGCCGCGAGGATGAGCAACCAAAATGCAATGTTTAAAATGTATCATCATTCATGAATGAATGAATGAGTGAACAAGTGCGGAGTGAAAGTAGTTTCAAAACTTAAATTTGTTTGTTTTGAATTTTTTTCCCCTCATCCTCCCGACATCCCGTTCTACTTTTACCGTAGGTAACAGCATCAAAAGGTAACCACTTTACCACGGCCGTTTTTCGCTGTTCTTTTCCGAAAGAATTTGAAAAACCGACCACACAACAAGAATGGACCATTTTATTTAGTCTCTCAAAACGTCTAAAAATAGCTAACTCTCTTTCATCTAGGTAGCTTTCTATGCTGTATTGCCACCCGGTCACTTGACCGGCGTGGAAAAACTAAAAACAACGACGTCACTCGAAGATCCTCCAACATATTATATTATATTATATATAATCTTCTTTAAGCATGCATTAGTGCTCTTACATCTTAGGAAATAAAAAAAATAATATTACAATGCTTTTTTCAAGAAGTGTATGTTAACATCCTTATATGATTGCTTCTATAGTGTTTGTTTAAGCACTTTGAGATGCCTTTAGTGTGCATTGTGCTATACAAATAAACTTGCCTTTCCTTGCCATTTCAACATACTGGCCCCACATACAGGGAGCTGCTCAGAAACGCATTTTATGATAAACTGTTTACAGTTTGTAAGAGCTCGTTAGACAGAGATTGTGTCAGCGAGTGATTAATTATGCCAGACTGTAAGACTTCTGTTTGTGTCAACTTGATGTATATGCTGTTTTTTTATCCTAATGACCACACGAATACTGGAGTGTTTGCATCAACAATTACGGCTCATCTAGAAGCTGGGACGGTTAAACGCAGATCATTGTGACAAAAGTCTACCATTACGGCAGCGTCAAATTATGCAGAGTTTAACTGTTTTATGGGGTTTTAATAGTGCTGTGTACACAATATGTTTGAGAAACTGCGTAAAGCTACAGCCTGGGAATATGGGAACAACTTTTATTGTACAGGCGCTCGTACATGGGCGAATTGGGTACACTATTCAGTCGCTTAGGAGTTTTAGTTGTTGAATAGGATACTTCCTTTAATTCAACAACTAATGTGTACAGATGTGAGCAGTTACTGTATATTGACATTTTGATATTGTCTTTTTAATCCTAGATAATACACTGAATTCTCACAGAAAAAGGACAAAATCAAAAAGTGTAACTGTGTTCGAACTGATTGGCTGTGGTTCTCCCTACTTTATCGTTTCATCTTAATACAATTGCTTTAACACAATGTACCAAAGAGTTTTTATAGGTAAAGGATTGTTTTAAATACTTGAAAATAGGGTTCCCTAGCTTTAAGTGCACGCATAGCTCTGTTTTGTTGTTTTGTTTGGAGCAGGGGAAGTTTTTATTCTTTTTATATAAATGAGTACTGTATTATTTGTATTAATGTTCTACTTATTTATCTACAAATTGGCGATGGGAAGGTATGAAGTTACTACGGTTTGTTATCATGACCAAAAATACCAAAGTTCGACAGTATATTGCAGAGTTTGAGTTGCATATGCATCATGCTTAGGAAAAAAATACAATGCTTCTTAATTATGAATCCAGAAGCAGTGCAGACAGTTGAGATTATTTTCTTCCTGCTAAAAGTAAAATAAAGGAGCTCTTTCAATAAAGTCAGAAGTCCATCTGGATGTTTGTGGGTATTACGAGCCACTAGGTGTTGAAGTCTAGAGAGTGTGACTCAGTAACACAAAAAGAACCGGGGGGTGGAACATAGACAGGAAACGGGGTCTAAAAAGTAACAAGGTTTATTTACATATAAATAAATGCACAAAAAAGTCACACGGGTGTGCAGCCGCAGGATCCAGGCCCAAGTGGAAGAGAGAGACTGGTCTGGAGCCAGGCTCTTTTCATGCCTCCCAGGTGATTAGCCCACAGGTGCATCGTGAGACGTCAGTGGGAGGGAGGTCTGAGGAGGCGGAGGCAAGGAGAAACAAAAATACCAAAACCAAAAGGACTTCGTCCGTAACACCTCCCCCCATAAAAACTAAGGTCTACCCCTCTTTAACAGGAAAACAAGTGCTTCCAAAAAACAACAATTATGGGAAAGGATATGGATGCCACCACCACCTGCGACCAAGTGGTGATGTGTGTCCCCAGTCACACGATGAGGCCTCAGCCACAACATGGTCCTTTCCCCTCCTGTGCTGGGTACAGACGGTGTGGTCCAGAGTCAGCAGCGCCCCCTGCTGCATCAGCCGTTGATCTGGGTTGGACATCTGGGACAGGAACACGAGGGGGTTGTGGTCTGTGAAGACAGTGACTGGGACACAAGTGGGCCCAACATACACATTAAAAGCCAGGGTCTCCTCAGCCTCCGGACGGAACCTGAGTCTTTGCTCAGCCTCTTGCTCAGCCTCTTGCTCAGCCTCTTGCTCAGCCTCTTGCTCAGCCTCTTGCTCAGCCTCTTGCTCAGCCTCTTGCTCAGCCTCTTGCTCAGCCTCTTGCTCAGCCTCTTGCTCAGCCTCTTGCTCAGCCTCTTGCTCAGCCTCTTGCTCAGCCTCTTGCTCAGCCTCTTGCTCAGCCTCTTGCTCAGCCTCTTGCTCAGCCTCTTGCTCAGCCTCTTGCTCAGCCTCTTGCTCAGCCTCCGCTCAGCCTCTTGCTCAGCCTCTTGCTCAGCCTCTTGCTCAGCCTCTTGCTCAGCCTCTCGCTCAGCCTCTCGCTCAGCCTCTCGCTCAGCCTCTCGCTCAGCCTCTCGCTCAGCCTCTCGCTCAGCCTCTCGCTCCAGACGAGCAATGCGCACATCCACGCGTACATCGCGAGGGGAGCGCGACCCTAAACCAGGAGACTTCTCCTCAGCCTCCTCAAACAGCGCCGCGGGAGAGCCCAGCTGCGGCTGCTCCACGCGCTCTCCACCAGGACGCACGGGGGACACCACTGCATCTCCCACTGCCGCTCCTGCCACTGGATCACTCGACACAGGCAATACCACAACCCCGTTGGCCACCAACTCTGCCAGTATAGCCTCCCTCAACTCACCCACGCGTAACGCAGGGGACACAGGGATCGCATAGTGTCGCGCTATCTCCAGCAAATCTACTTTTCTACACAACTCCAACGCCACGTGCGTTGGCTCAGCCACAAATGCTTCCAAATCAAACGTAGCCATCACTCACCGGGCTGATCACAGTTGATCCCACTCACAACTGGAACACCTGATGGCACTCTCCACTCGACCCGCCTCCTGGGATGTGCCAAGCACGCGCCCGCACACAGCTGCGCTCAAAGCTTACGCACACACACTCACACTCGCACACGGGTGAAAAGAGGTTATGCAGGGTGCCTTAACAAAACCAAATCAGTGCAAACACAGGTATTGACCCAGACTCCTACTCGGGAAAAACTTAACCTAAATATCTTCTGGGACTTGCCGGGCTCGAGGCGTGCAGCCCCCGTCAGAGAATCCACTCCGCCCAGGATTCGTCCCGAAAATAATAAACTAAAACAAAAAACGGATGCCCGAAGGAATGGCGAATAAATCAACCAAGCTGGACACCCCCCTAGTCTAGCTGGGTCAATTTGGAGTTGACTGCCACTGAATGTCACACGCACCCACACACACGCGACTCACCCAGAGCGCACGACTCCTGGTGCACCCACCGCAGTTCCACTGGATCCCGGACGAGCCCCCACGTATTACGAGCCACTAGGTGTTGAAGTCTAGAGAGTGTGACTCAGTAACACAAAAAGAACCGGGGGGTGGAACATAGACAGGAAACGGGGTCTAAAAAGTAACAAGGTTTATTTACATATAAATAAATGCACAAAAAAGTCACACGGGTGTGCAGCCGCAGGATCCAGGCCCAAGTGGAAGAGAGAGACTGGTCTGGAGCCAGGCTCTTTTCATGCCTCCCAGGTGATTAGCCCACAGGTGCATCGTGAGACGTCAGTGGGAGGGAGGTCTGAGGAGGCGGAGGCAAGGAGAAACAAAAATACCAAAACCAAAAGGACTTCGTCCGTAACAGTGGGATTTGAAGTAATTGATATACTGTAAAAAGGTGATGTCAGCACTTAAATTGTCTTTCGCTTTTTAAAAGAATGTTCCTGACAGTGTGACACAGTAAGTATACTTCAACAATATATTTGCATAACTACAACCTGTAAGATTTTCTGGAATAGACTAGTTAAACTAACAACGAGGAGCTTTAGGATTTTAATTAATTTCGACCAATCAGGAAGCTGCAGGGGTGATCATGGGCAGGTCGAACTGGGGTTTATCTTTAAACAGTTTCACTCTCTCTTCACAATTCTGAATGTAACCACAGTCCCTTCAATGCTGGTCGTCTATCCTTTCATCACATGCAAAGGATGCTTATGTCAACCAACCAATCTTTTTAACTATGACAGCAATCACATCTTTGTTCCAACTTTCTGTGAGATCTGAGGGTTGTTACCTAGGAGCACCATTATTCTGCACCAGTGCATGTATGTGAATGCTGAACGGGGTGCATTTATCCAAAGTGCTTTACAGTTGACGTCCCTTTGCTTTGATTTACAATACCGGCTTATTTGCATAGTAATTGCCTGCTTAGGTTTACTTAAAATGGCTCCAAATAAGAGTCATCCGCCTGTGCGTTCTTTGCCGCATGCAGGATCAAGCCTATAAGGGTGGGCTGTAAGCTTCTAGCATAATGAAGTATCCGATTTATATGACTATGATGTTATGTGGAGCGAAACCAACAGAAAAAGACCAAAGATAAAAAAAAAAAGACTTCTTATCCAAATCCAATATTCAAGCAGCAAATGATTGAAAGTCATTCCTCAGATCTATCTCTGTCTTTGCTAATTTATCAATGAGAAAAGTACTTCTGATGATTTAAATATTTAAACTTTTTATAATCCCTGATCTAATTCAAATTGTCATACTTTAAAAAATTAATGCGATCTGTGTAATATTTCTTGTCGCTCCTATGCAACAATTCAGTATGAACCAATTCTTTCAAATAAATGAACTGGCCAAAATCACATGTATGTTAAAGCTATAGTGACAGAGCGAGAATGTTTTTACGTCACGCTCATTTTTTTGTGGTTTAAAAGTTAAACTTTGTTGTGCTTTTACTGTCCTCCGACTTGTACAACATTTTTTAGCCCGATCATTTGAGTAACAGAAAGTCCACCTGTCTATTCTTTTTGACATCATTAAAAAAGTAAAATAAATAACCCACAAAAACAAATCCAAAAAGCGAGAAAACAAAACAGGTTTGATGAGCCCTGTCTGCGTGTAATGGTTTGCAATGTCACTTACATACGCAAAAAGTCACTTGTTTAAGTCAAGTAGAAAATACATAATAAACAATTGTTATTCAGCAGGATACCGCTACTTTTGTTGAGATTTGAATAAAGTGATGACTTAAAGAATACAGGTTGCAAAGAAGACTGCATATAAACTGCTTCTAAATAGGAACGAATTTAGATAGTTCTTCGTTTTGCCCTTGGAGGAGATAAATGTGCTCCCTGTGGCGCTTTTGTCAATACAAGGTCATTAAAATGTGCCACGACCAACACTGCAGATCCACAGGTCAGGGAGAGATTAGCTACATTAACATGGACTGCCTGAAGCTGGACTATTCTGACACATTCTCCCTAAGGCCATATATCCACTGCAATAATCACCCCCGCACATGCATCGATCAAACACAAAATCACAACAACATCATTATAGGATATTTATATATTTGTCACATTTCATTATGATAACCTGCACTGTCATGTTTGTTTGTGTGTATTTTCTGGTAGAATCGTATTTTTTATGCATGCTTTTTATATCTATTGTTGACTGTTTTATTACTTGTTATTGCACCATAATGACAAAGAATTTTCCTGCCGATTTTGTCTGATACAAAAAGTGCACACAAGTGAAACACATTGAAAAAGACACAGTGAAAATTCAGTGGCTGAAATTCAGAGACATTATTAGTTAAAAAAAAGTTTTCAGAGAAAATTTTTTTATTTCATTTTCTAAATTCTGATCGAACAGATGAGCTTTGCGTAAGCCTTTTCACGGTAGAATGTAACAGTATAATTGCATGCGATAGCCATATCCCATCACACCACTGAAGCTGTGCAGGGCAGGGCCTGGTTAATACTGTAATGGGAGACCTTTGGGAACACCAGGTGCCACAGTGGGAAGGCTGCGGCTCCCCACTGTTGCACCTGGCACTGTGGTCTTGTGCCTGTGCACTTTTGGCACTGTGGCTGGCGATAGTCAGAGGGGCCGATGGCACATACTGGTTGCCTCGCTTCTGTCAGTGTGCCCCAGGGCAGCTGTAGCTACAGCAGTTGTTTCTCACCACCGTGACATGTGAAGCGGCGTTGTCCTGAAAAGCGCTATATAAAACTGATGCATTATTACTATTATTATAACAATCATTATTATTATATCGGGCAGGCATTGTGTTGTAAGTAGTTTTCTTTACTTTCAACAAAGGCTTCTCAAAGTGTAACTTTCAAAAGCTCATCTTTCTGTAGCATGTATTGAGCTCCCATGCAAGGGTGAAAGTTCTTCTTACTGTGAGACATAACTGATGAAACTTTTTACTAGACTTTCGTTAGTGGAAGCTTAACTGTTTTGCTTCATCCTCTGAAATAGCGGTTTCATGCTTGGACTTCAGATGCCCGACCTGACTAGAAAAGATCCATATTGCAAAGATCCAGCATCAGCCCTGTAATGTAAATAGATTATTCTTATTTAAAATTCAAATTAGTATTGGGGGATATTCTGATGTATTCCACTCATCTGTTTGGCTGTGAGTTGTATTGACATGAAGAGAAATGAGGGTGTGACTGCAAACGGGGAGCATCATTTAACAGGGCCCCAGGCGAAGTCCTCTGCTCTTCCATGCTCTTCTGCCACTCCGACTGCTCGCTGTTTCATTATGATGAGGCTATGGGCTAAGAAGAGTAGCCAAGCATATCAAATATCCTGAAAGCACATACTAAATAAATCATTTTATTCATTCCATTAGTGGTGGTTGCTCTTCCCTTGTAAACCATCTTTTGGCCGCACTGGCAAAACAGAAAGCGTCACTGCCCAAGTCCGCCATGTCGAGACAAAAAAACGTAGTTTCGCTTCAACAAATCGCAACTGTTCCATCCATTTAGGGCTTTTACGCTTTTCTGGGCACGCTCTTCCCATGGTCAGTAGAAACTGCCTACGCGTCGCCATAATTTGTCACGCTCTTTCAGTCTTGCTGGTGCCAAATTGGAGAGAAGAGGCTTAGATGTTCAATGCCCTCAACAAAAACAGTAATGTTTACCAGTATCTCGAGCATTGCTCCATTGGATGATACACAATGGATGTGGCTTTTGGCAGAAAAAATCCCAAACAGAAGAAGAAACGGCAACCATCAGAATAACCAAAAAGCCAGCATTATTCACATTTTGATCAAAAGGGAATATTCGTACATGTTTACCTTATGGTGAGGGACACAGGCAAAAGAGAGTTGCAGCATATAATTTAAAACCTTCATTATATGTTCCTTAATCAAACCACTTCATTCCATGTTTCTTTTTCAAAGGCTAAACGTGAGACCTGTCTATTTCCCTTTAACCTCAATCCAACAGATTTATAAATATGGTATTTAGGAAGATGTTTCTACCAATTATTGTATAGTAGCCTAGGTGAAAGACAGTTGAGGATTTTGGGATTACTGTGACTGTGGGGATTTAATCTATACCTTTTCCTTCTATAATGTATGATTGATAAACGCAAAACCAATGGTTCAACAAACATAAATCTGGCCTTAATCATATTTGTGATGTTGCTATTTTTCAGTCCGAAATATATTGAATTATTCCTTTTATTACTTGAAAAATGAAAATGTAGTGGGCGTGAAGGCCTTCAAGCAAATAACAAAACATTGCATTTCCAATTATGTGCACATTTTCATTCCTTACATACAAACATTATAAGGGTTGGGTTACTTTAGATACAGGATTCATCTGAATAGCAAGAGTCGACTTGGTGTAATTTTCACTTTATTGCTGACCATACTAAGTGAAGTATATGTTGAAAGTAATCTGAAAGTGAAAGTAAAGTCACACGGTTAGTCAGTCAGCGTGGCAGTCGGTCAGAGTGAGAATTCCACGGCTGCAGATGTATTCAGTGGG